CATTCCTCTCCTTTATTGTCCTCTCTTCCCATTTTTCCTGCACTCCTTCACATTGATCCAAAACAGATTCATTTCAGATTCCAGTTACAATACATCTTATTGATCCGCACATCTCCTCTAATTAGCCGTTTGAATTTAACACTTGTATGGCGGCGGCCCAGTCACAGAGTAAACCATCCTCAGGAGAGAGCGAGAGCTCAATGAATGAGCGAAGACTTTTCTTGCAACCCAGGCTCATTGGAAAAACCCACCTCTACCTATGTTTTTACAAAACTCTAAAAACGTACCTATACACACAATGCACTGCAGTTTCTAGCGGAAAAGAACACTAGTGGCTGTAAAACACCAACCAGTTTTACTCCTCTTCACACAAATTATGGTTAAGATTATTGATTAATAAAAGACTGAATTTCCTGCTGTTCCTTCAAAGTTATGACTTCAAAACTCTTTAACTTCAATGTTTACATCACATAAGCTCCATATGTATAGCTGACATTGTAAAATTGCTCGGTAGCTCACCTGATACAGCATTGCTCTTGCAATGCGATGTGCTCTGGTATGAGTCCTGTGAAACACGAGTCAGAATGAAAAAGCTCAAAGACTTTTAGAAGCATGAATGGCATGGTTGCTTCAGTAAATGCATTTGATCTCACATTTGCTTTTCTTAACACTATCGCTTGGATTTAAGGTAGGGTTTAGTGTAGGTGGTACATTATTTTCAAGTGTAATAGAGCATTAATCTTCTAGTGCCACTCACCAGACATTTAATTTCTAAACTGCTGCGATGCATACACCAGTAACGTAATAACATGTTGCCAGATTCATGTTCATTTGCTTTGGATAAATCTGGTTGCACTTTATTTTGATAAAAATAGACATTGTACTAACATTCTCTAAGTAACTTTGCAATTACATGTCAACTAACTCTCAGTAGAGTATTGTCAGACTTAGATTAGGGTTAGTAGAATAAGCTGACATGTACAAGTTACTTATAGTCAGTAGAATCTCTGTTGGGGAGCCATCAAAATAAAGTGTTTGCTTATATTAAGCGACAATACTCTAGAGACTGGTAGATGACATGATGTTGCATAGTTAGTACAATGTCTAAAGTGGGCTATTAAAATAAAGTGTTACCATAAAACTGAATACTTTTAGTGCCACTCACTGAACATTTCACTTTGAAAGTGTTGCAAAGCATCACATGGTTTCTGATATGCTGAGCATACAAGGCTTTTTTAAAATAAAATCTTAATTATTCCAAACTTTAGTGTATACTTATTCCCGACTAGACTAGTTGCTATGGAAGCTAGTTTTTGCCATGGGATGCAAACTCAAGACTTCAGAGGAAAAAAAGTAAGAATTGTTAAACTTTGAATTGTGAGATATAAACACTTTTTTCTTGAGTTTACATCTCGCAATTCTGGCTTTTTCTCAGAAATTGCAAGGGAAAAAGACTTCCCTAAGTCGCTGGTCACCAGCATGTTTTATCAAAACATGCTCACATTAGCTTTATTAGCCACAGTTGATGCCGTTCCGCAAGCAGTCAGACCACCCGGTCGACATCCGATCAAAGGAGGCCTCGTAGTTTCACTGTAAGGGTCCTCTAGGGTCTCTCCCCACACGTTTGCAGGTTTGGGGTTTTATGAACCTGGAATGACCGTACGTTTACCAGACCCTATAGACTCCAATCACTGTCAGCAGAAACACACATGCAGGCTCACACACACGCACTAGACGAGTTAGTGAACATCATGGAGCATTTTGCTCTGTCACCGGCTCTAAAGAGGAAGTTGCACTCACAAACACACATGCATGCCCATTACTCTTAGTGTTATTCCTCAGAGGACTTAAACCCACAGAAGCACAAACATCCGGGATTAAACACACCACTCTGTGTACTAGTATATGTGTGCATGTAGCTGACACACTGAGACTGATGGGAAAAAAAGAAAAACCCTCGTATGGCCTCAAACCACCTTAAATAAAATTACAATAGTAAATTAAAACAGTAGGGTATGCAGTCTTTTAGGATCATGCTCATGGGTCTTGGTTTATAAATACATGTTGAGTTTTTTTATTAGAAAGTCTTGTGCAAAATGAATGTTAGTGTTAATAGTGGAATTAATCAAGTGAGCAATTATTAATATATCTCTATTGTAGTACAAACCTGATTCCAAAAAAAATTGGGACACTGTACAAATTGTGAATAAAAACAGAATGCAATGTGGAAGTTTCAAATTTCAATATTTTATTCAGAATACAACATAGATGACATATCAAATGTTTAAACTGAGAAAATGTATAATCATTTTAAGGGAAAAAAAAAGTTGATTTTAAATTTCATGGCATCAACACATCTCAAAAAAGTTGGGACAAGGCCATGTTTACCACTGTGTGGCATCCCCTCTTCTTTTTATAACAGTCTGCAAACGTCTGGGGACTGGCTTCAAAATTTGAAGTTCTTTTTGGAAAACTGTCCAAAAAGAACTTCAAATTTTGATTCGTCTGACCACAGAACAGTTTTCCACTTTGCCACAGTCCATTTTAAATGAGCCTTGGCCCAGAGAAAACGCCTGCGCTTCTGGATCATGTTTAGATATGGCTTCTTTTTTGACCTATAGAGTTTTAGCCGGCAACGGCGAATGGCACGGTGGATTGTGTTCACCGACAATGTTTTCTGGAAGTATTCCTGAGCCCATGTTGTGATTTCCATTACAGTAGCATTCCTGTATGTGATGCAGTGCCGTCTAAGGGCCCGAAGATCACGGGCATCCAGTATGGTTTTCCGGCCTTGACCCTTACGCACAGAGATTGTTCCAGATTCTCTGAATCTTTGGATGATATTATGCACTGTAGATGATGATAACTTCAAACTCTTTGCAATTTTTCTCTGAGCAACTCCTTTCTGATATTACTCCACTATTTTTCGCCGCAGCATTGGGGGAATTGGTGATCCTCTGCCCATCTTGACTTCTGAGAGACACTGCCACTCTGAGAGGCTCTTTTTATACCCAATCATGTTGCCAATTGACCTAATAAGTTGCAAATTGGTCCTCCAGCTGTTCCTTATATGTACATTTAACTTTTCCTGCCTCTTATGCTACCTGTCCCAACTTTTTTGGAATGTGTAGCTCTCATGAAATCCAAAATGAGTCAATATTTGGCATGACATTTCAAAATGTCTCACTTTCAACATTTGATATGTTATCTATATTCTATTGTGAATAAAATATACGTTTATGAGATTTGTAAATTATTCCATTCCTTTTTTACTCACAATTTGTACAGTGTCCCAACTTTTTTGGAATTGGGTTTGTATTTGGATGTTTTCATTTTTCTGATATATAGTGTGTCTGTGCATCAATTAATTAATAATGTTAATTTTATAGTTTGTGTGTGTATTCAATTTCACGTTCTATCCTCTTAGTTCTCCAGGAAGTGACATCATTTTAGAGGGAAAACGGCAGCACAAACATCAGTATTATCAATGGAGTGTATGAATTCTGTAATGTTTTGTTGTATTTGTAGGTTTTTGTCACTTTTAAAACATTCTGTCCTATTCTAATTATTCTATAAACTTTTTTTTAACCATTGTATAAATAATAAAGTCATAATGAATGAAGTTGAAGTGTCTGACCTTGTCAAGAATTACCCTTTTAACATACTTAATTTACAACACAAACATTGAAAAGTATTTTTAATGTTCAAAAGTTACTGCAAATGTCTCATAGATGTTTTGATGTATTCATAGGGGTTAAAGAAGGTGACAGAGCACCAGTGTTACATTACTCAAGGTCATCACTGGATTTGTCAGTTTGCCAAGTTTTCCAGGTTAGTGGCATCAAATTTTTTAAAAATATTAATAGTTTTAAGACCTAAGCAGAAAGTAAACTAGAGATTCTATGAGCAGAATTGTATGCTGTGATTTATGTTTGAGGCAGGTTTGCAATAATCTGTAATTGAAATTTAATTAAAATTGTACTTATTTCCACTGAACTGACATAATTGCTGATTACCAACTGTACACACATTTCTGCTCACTTTTTTAGGCATCTGAACAGCTGATCAACACTGCTGTGCATTTGTTTGAATGTGTTTTATATCAAGTTAGTTTGTCACGTAAAAACAATATCAACTGATTGTTCGCTTTGCATTCACAGAACATCTCTTCTCATATGCAAATGTAATATATATAGCATCCTAAAACCCATTGATACAAGTAAATATAAAAGATAGATGTGTATTTAAAAATGCATTACAAAAACATAAGCATACAGATTTTTTGTAAATATGTTGTTTTAATAAAGTTGCATATATAAATGAAATACATGTTGACATATATGGTTGATACATAGAATACCATATATATAAGAAACATATAGATATTATTAACATATGAACATATACAAATTTTACTATGGGAATTTATGGCAATATTACTCCTGAGATAGAGCAATATATGTTATATGACATTTCCACATAGATTACTGTCTAAGTGGATAGTTTTTGGCCAGGATAAGCTGGACCAAACTTTAAACCGATAACCAAAAGTCTGTCAATGCGTGACTAAATCTAGAAGGATAAGACTGAAGTGATTATCTTTCATTGAAAATCACTTTGTGTAACATAAACGGTTTGATTTAGAGCTAAGATCGAGAAAAAACTCTCTGTTTTCTAAAAATGGAAGACATGAATGGTTATTTTTCAGGACTTAGTGTAGACACACACACACACAAATATAATGAGCCGTGTGTCAGGACTGGTTTTGGGGGCGCCACTGTGGTGAGACTGGCCTGTAGCAGTGAATAGTGACCCACTCAGATTCTCTGTATGGGTGGTCCACACCATCTGGACGTGAGACACAAACTGACACACTCACACAACACGGACACAGATAACCAGATTCTAAATTGGTAGGGTTGAGACACACACACTCTCTCTCTCTCTCTCTCTCTCTCTCTCTCTCTCTCTCTCACACACTCACACTGTGTTAATATTTGAGTCTCTCTGAC